AGACCCTCAAAATAGGGGATATCATAATATAAATAATAATTTATATTTCCCACTTATTATCTTTATAATAAGTAAATTCATTTATTTGTCGGCACACGGCCCTTCATATATATTCCTTTTCATTTATCATTTGCACAACCCAACCCTTGGGTCTTATTATTTCTACAGGACTTGCTACCGCTGTCCGAGACATCATGAGGCTCCCGGTTCGGACTCCAACATCCCGCCCCTGGACTCATACCCATCATCCCGTAGGAAGGTAAGGCCCTTCGGGGTCCTATCTTATGTGTTACCGCTACCGGAACCTAGTTAGGTCTCCGATTCGGATTCCACCCTAACCCGTGATCACGATGTAAGTCCATGCTATCCAACCCCGCTCTCTAGAGTCGGGAAGGGCCATGGTCCTTACTTATTTCCATAATTCGACCGGCTATCCACAAGGACTACCGAACACACCCGTAGGCCAATCCTATACTTAGGATCAATTTATTACTTACTTTATCTTGGGTATCCCTTAAGGCCTACCCCTAGTGTAACCTAGAGTTCATACTTTCCTACCTTAAAGCATCTCTCAAGACTACTTAAGGCATAACATTTCACAATTCAATCTTAGGATCAATCTTAACAACATTTCATTTTAATGTCAAACTAGTATCTTAATACTAGTCAAATTTATACCAATAAACCAAGTTCTCAACTCATAGTCATATAGACAATTCTAACTGATTTTCCTTTGAAAATGTCCTTTATCTCAATATTCAAAATATCACTTTTAATCACTCATATATTCTAATATGAAGAGAAAGTATATTTCAACATATATGTTTCATAATTAATTCCACTTTCAAGTCAACCTATTCATAACACATGATCATACACAATTTACTCTTAAATTTGTATATCATGCTCCTTTTTCTTTAGACATTAGTCTTTTCATTCTTAGGCATTATTAATCATTAATAATCCATAAAAAACACATTTAATTACCTTCGGTAATCTCATGAAATTAACTCACTAATTATAAGCAATATAGTCAGCCATCCTCACCTTATGATGTGCTGAAATAGTCGCCTTTGTTGAGCCCCCCGATTAGTCCTCGTTTTAAACCGATAAGAAGGCAAAACTGGACTGCCTGGGCAAAAGCCGGGTGGCTTTCACGAAAGCCGGGCGACGTTCGTCCTCCTGCAACATGAACAGCTTCCTATATGTGGCGGTTTCCGGCGATTTCGACTCCTATCGATCCACCAACTCTTCTAAGTTAATTACCACCACTTTATATCAATATTCTACACTTTTAAACGTGTAGAAGTCATGGTTTAATCCACCATATGATTTCTTAACAAATCGTACTCAAAAAACTAGTTAAAGAGCTATTTGGTGTTCTTACCTCAAGCCTAGCTCTCCTCCTTGGATTTCCTAGCTTCTTCTTCCTCAATGGGGTCTTGGGAGTTTGGTTTCCTGGAGCTTCTCTCCTCTTGTGTCGGTCAAATGAGGGTAGGGGTGGAGAGAGGGTGCCTTCTCAATCAACACAAATGATTTGTGTGAGATAGGACCCTATCATGAGCTTTTGTCTCAAAGGAGACTTCCTCCCTCTCCCTTGTGCGTACCAGCACGTTTGGCTGCTCCCCTCCCCCATTATTTGATCAATCAGCACCCATAAAAACGTGGGGTGGCCCCCACTTATGTGGGAGGTCATCTCATTATGTCCCGGTGTGTACAATCGGCCCCGAAAGTTGTATTTCTCGGCCCGTTTTAATTATATTTTATTTTATTTGGCCAAATAAAATATGTCACGCATTCTTAATAGTTATGGACCTTTAGAATAGATGTACATTCCCCAACATTAATTTAGGAGTCTCCGAAACTAACTTCGGGTTGTTATCCGCTAAATTACCAATATCGGTAATTGGGCCCCGTTTGACCAACCGGTCAACTCCATGCCCTTCCTATGGCCCAAATAAAATGTCCACTACTATATAGATGTCATCTAGACCAAGATGAATATAATATGTGGTTCGGGAATTATCGGGCGGTCCCTGTTCCCGCTGTGGGGCCCACATGCAATTTACTATTCACGTAAAAGAAATAATAAAATTTAACAATTACGCAACTTCATAAACCATCCTTCAAGGTTTATTACATAATTTACTAAAAGTAAATATGCTTGGGGACGGTGCTACAACATCCTCCTTCAATAATAAATCAGCTCCAAAAGTGACACACTTTCTGTGGTTATCGACACCTGTAAAAGGTCCAACCACCATATTGTACCTGAAAATATAACAATCAAACTATGTTAATCAACACTAAAAAAAGTGCATAAGGAGAATAACAAATATGCAAGTAATCATGCCATGAGGTGCAACAAAAAGACTTATTACTTCAAATGAAATTGAATGATGGAGACTCACAAAAACACACCTATTTGTTCCATAGATAGTGTCAAATGAAACAATGTCACCAAACAATGCATAATTCTTCCCGGTATCAAACACATTATATTTTTTACTCTTATAAGCTAAAAAAATTGATCGGTCCGAAACTGAGACCAGAACCGTCCGGTTCAGTCCAAAATATTGGAACCCTAGACCGGGAGCTCTTTAACTTTACCGGATCGAGTACTCGGTCTTGATCTGGGACTGGAAAAATGGACTCAGTCCGGTCTCAAATGATACCAGACCCAGTTTCGGTCCAGGTCCGCCCCTACTTCCGTCTCCTCTAATCCACGTCTGTTTGAGTCTTCCTCCTTGTCTCCTCCCCGTCTCTTCTCCACGCCTCTCAACTTATGTAATGGGTACACCACTCGGTCTTCTTCACACATGACCAAAGTACCAAACCACTGCAATTGAGATTCTCGCATCTTATCTTCAATAGGTACAATAATGCAGGCCTAATTGATGTCCGATAAAATTTACCATTCAGTCTAGTCGGCGTATCTCAATCACATAGAAATCTTGACGCATTCTTCCATTTCATCCATCATGTTTTCATTATGTGTGATACATCTTCACCTAGTTTACCATTCTTCTGAATTATGTACTACTCCCTCCATCCCATTATAAGGTCCTAACTTTTTTTTGGACGTCGAATATAAAACTTCTCATTTCTATTTTAGGAAACAATTAATACTCATAAATGACAATTTAATCATCAAATATAAAAAATAATACATTTATAATATCATAGTTATCATTAATGACCTCATTATGTTATATATCCATCAAAACTATTTCTCAAAATGTACTCGAATTACCTTATTTAATTATTGACTCTGTCGTTTTGCAATGGGAACCTATAAGCGGGATGGAGGTAATATTATACTTTAACTCTTTTTAGAATACTATCGAATTTTTTCTTGTTTATTAAATCTTTCCATCAATTTAAGTATCTTTAAACTTAAATTAATTCAAAACACTTTCTTTGCCTAAAAGGAACATAAGACTATTAGTAGGCTCTACGCTCATGGTGACTATGGCGTAGCAAATATTAGAGTATCTTTAGTGGCAACGTGGATTGGTTAAAAATGCATTGCCACATACGCAAAATAGAGATTAGGATAAAAATACTCTCTCAAATGGAACTGTCTATCTCTGTAGTAGTCCTGAGTTGGAAATCTACATGGTAGACATTGTTCCGTGCTCTGTTTGATATCAACGAGTCTCTTAAACAGTCTGACTCTAACAAATACAGTTTTCTACCAGAAGCGTAGATCGTACAACCGACTGTATGACTGACACCGTACAATCGATGACAATTTCGTAATTTTGGTGAAATTCGAGGCTTCTCTTAAATGAGTATTAATGCAATTTTGGTGAGCATCAAACCTGTTCTTTTGAGTATTAAGAGTCTAACAATGAGCATTGTGATCTCTGTTTCATATCTTCTAATTCACTTTATTTTTATTATTTTTTCTTTTATAAAAAAATCTTAATCTATGTCTCTAATCAATTCCAATTAATTTCAATATGTGAATCTCATGTAGTATGATATGTTTGAAATATGCAAACATTTTAAAATGAGCAGAAAACCGATATCAAATGAGCATACATAACTTATAAAATGAGTATAAAAAAATTCAAAGTTCATTTGTGTATGCTCATTCACTTCTAATGTGCTCAATATTCATTTGTCCGTTCATTCTTTTTAGGCTTATACTCATTTGAGTTTAATACAAAACTCATTCGAGATCAATAGCAACAAGAATTTCTCAGTAATGAAGTAAACTCCCATTATCTCCATATCACAATCTCAATCAACAACATCTCGAACTCAAACTCAATCTCTGATCTCCAGGCTATCGCGGAATCAGAAATCATCAATCACCGGCTCAATTGATCATCTCCCGAACCTCTTCTTCTCGCAGCAACGGCCAACAACGAAAATCCCAGGAGCCACCTTCTCTTCACAGTCGGAGGACGAGGTGCTACATTCGTGCTTGGGGGTGGACCGGTTCCGGTTCGAGACTAGGCCCGGCCGGGCCTCGATTCATGAAAGGGGAGGCCCGGAACCGGCCCGGGTAACCCCGGGTCTGGGCCGGGCCGGGCCGAGCCTCGATTCTTGTTTTTTTTGGCTTTTCCTAATTAACCCCCAACCCTCTCCCCTCACCCCCAAACCATCTCAAATGGCCCATCATACCCAGCCCAACCCAAAAACTTAAAAAAAACAATAAAAAAAAATAAAAAAAAAAAATTGGCCCGGACCGGGCCCGGACCAGCCGAGCCGGTTCACGATTTAGTAGGCTCAGGCCCGGACCGCCTACCTCACCGGGCCGGGGCCGGGCCTAGGCCCAAGCCGGCGGTTCAAGAATGGTGGACCCGGGTAGCCACCGGGTCCGGGCCGGGCCTCCGGTTTGGATTTTTTTTTTTTTTTGCTTTTTTAACCCCCCCCCCCCCCCCCCACCCCCACCCCCACCCCCACCCTCCCAAACCCCCCCAAACCCATCCTACCCATCAAGCCCAACCCGGGTGGAACCCCAAAAATGGAAAGAAAAAAAAAACATAGGTATTTTATTACATGAATGTAACTCATAAATTTGAAAAACCCAAAAATTACATGGAGTTTTATTTTATAAGTTGTTTAGAAAAAGTAAAAAAGTGGTGATACACAGTGCACAGTTACACACAGCTATAATTCCAGCCATTGGCAATCGGTAGAGTTGATTGGTTGAACTTTTTTCTCTGGACATCATAGTATGATCTCCTCTTGAACACTAACATTTAAGGTCTTGTTTGGAAGAACGATGCTGTTTATCACCACCACTTCGTCTTCCACGGACACAGATTCACCTAATTCATTTGTATTCAGTTTATAGACAATCAAGCTGTTATACCTCCCTCGAGTTTTGGTTAAATTACCAAATGACTCAAATTTTATCACATTTACAAACATGTCCTTTGAGTAGTCAACTTTCCCACAAGCGGCAGTCAAAGCTGATGTAGTGGGATCAGTAGGTATTTGGTGGGTTTTTTTACTAAACAACCCTTAACATTTGTCCCAAAGATTTTCATGAAAAATCTTTAAAATTCAATAAAATGCATTAAAGACAACCAAATTCAATAGGGAAAATATTCTTAAATAATATCAACTATCACCCATAAAATGATAATGATAATAATACATACCTTTTGAAATGATTTCTAATAACAAGAATAATATGGAGCTACTTTTCGATAAGAAATTCAATCATTTACTACATTAAAAAATGATATTAAGCCATCAAATAAATATTACTAGTATTTGGAAATAGGGTCACATATTTGATATGTAAATATTAGTTTTTGATAAGTTAAATGGCTGATTTTTTGATGAAAAATGGTTGTATATCACTCTTGTTATATAGTCAAATATTTGGTATTATTAAAAGTTATTTGTAAAATACATATTATTCTGGTTTCATTGAAGATAGTTTGTATTATTTAAAGTTATTTCCCCAATTCAATATGAAGACAGTTCTTGTTAATATCATTGCATTCTATAATTTCTCAGTGTTAAAAGGGCCACTTTGTAGAAAATTCGACTGATCAACGGACTTATATTCATGGTTTTTAAAAAACCTGGAGTGTCATTTGGTAATTTGAACAAGCCTTGGCCCTTGGGGAGATATATGCAATTAACCGTAGATCACACACAGTACCAAGGATTGTTACTCCAAGCTTTGCGCTGTAATCTCCAACACCCTGTAGTAAAATTGGATTCATTTACTTTAGCTAAGCATATGACTTTTGCAACTAGCATAACTCAAATTCCTCACTCTTTCATGTTTGGTTCGAGGATTTAGGATGGAAAGGTCAAGGGAAGGGGATGACTAACATTTACTCTTTAAATTGTTCTGACATTTAGATCAATGAAATAAAAGGATGATCAAAACAATAACAAAGAATATTATTCAACTTTTCTTATAGTTGTTTTTACTTGGGGTTCTGAGACTAACAAATAGAGATAAATGACTAAACAATCAATCACCCTCAAGTCCTCAAACAAAACAAACCCAAACAAACTTGAAGGGATGTACATAGCATAAACTGGAGGTAGTTTGGCATGACGTGAAATATAATCAAATGCAGGTGGACATCTCTGATTCAATTTGGTTCATACGACTTTCATTTTAGTTTGGCTTAAATTGGGTCAGGGAAATGATTACCAACTTAATGCGCTTAAAATGTATAGATGATACCTTAACTATTGATATTGTTATATTTTGTTACCTTAACTCTTATTTGCAATGGGGCCAAAGACTCACTACTTTGTGGCTTGGGAATATGATGGAATAAAGCAAAATGAGTCACTAAACTGTCTGCGCTTCTTTGTTATGAAGCGCAATCGGTGTATGCAATTTTCGACGCGATTTTCACTACGGGTCATCCGGAAACAAAGAAGCGCAGTCAGTCTATGCAATTTTCAACGCGATTTTCACTATGGATCATCCGGAACCAGTCTCTCTATGATTTAGTACAGGGGTAAGGCTGCGTACATCCGACCCCCTTACCCACCGTAGATGGGAGTCTTTGTGTCACTGAGGTAATGATGATGATGATGATGAACTCTTAAATAAACTAAACCAGTACCATAAGTATACATAAATGTTTCAACGAGCAATACTATTCAAATTTCCAGCCACAAAATCCGACGTGGTGGTCAAAATTTCATGCGTGGACTTCACCGTATGATGATTGTATGGACAAAAAAAATGTAAAATGAAGTTTACATGAGGAATTTTGGCCGTCACGTAGCTAGTTATTAACTTTTATTGACTTGTAGAAATGCAATTTTTTTGTGTAATAGTTTTTTTGGGATGACCCGGACCATCCTAAATTGTCCCAGCCCCCGATTTGTATGAATCAAGAGTGGGACAAAGGCTTGTTCTGAACGGCTCAAGACTGTTGCAGTTAATCAGGTTCGGACTTCGGAGCCGGGACAACACAAATCCTAAAATGCCCTGAACAGTGTCCATCCCTATTTGTTTATCCATTTGACAAGAACTTCACATTTTAGGATAACTATGTACTTACCTGGACTCGAGACCATCTCCCAACGGATGACTTCCAGCCAATAATAGCATGAACAATAACCGCATTTTCCTTCAGCAGACAAAAATGCATATATATTTACTGATATGACATTAATGCAGCTCACATGTTGGAGATTTCCTAGACATGTACCTTGATTTCCACGTCATCAAGAACAATACAATCAATGAGCCTTGCACCAGCTCCAATCCGAACATTGGCAGATAATGAAACATTTGGACCGATCTGTTCAAATTTTAATTAAATTAAGATAAAGATCCTACATTAAATTAGAGTATAGATGAGTTTATAAGATTTGCATATTGGACTATTGTTGTGTCTATGAGCATCATGACACATTATAGTGAGAACCAATTATGAAATCTATCAAACGCCAACTCTGTTTGAGTAGCGGCATCGAGTTGATATTTTCAATTAAATTGCTTAAGACTAAAGTTTTACACAAGACGCCCCTTCCAATTTTCTTACAAGGGAATAATGGGATGAAATTCCAAAATTATCGCACCATCGTCATATCATAGGTTATTTTCACTTGCATGAAAAATATGTATGATGAATTGTTGCGTCCCATAAAAGAAAGAAAAATGAGTAATGTCAGGACAAAGTGAGAACAATAGAAATTAAGATATGAATATCAGTGAAACTTACACTTTTAGTCCCTCAATTGTTTGGCATTATGCAAATGTAGTTCTCACAATTTTCATTAATCTATAACTGAGATTAAATTACAATGTCCAATTCCATTGAAGCCTAAGGGCATCTTAGGGAGTAACAAATACCCAGAATGCCACCCATAAACCCTTTTACTTTTAAATTTACAAAAGATGAAAGCATGAAACACGGATCTCAAACTACATCATGTCAAAAATTTGAAGAGTGAAATCCGACTTTACCCAAGAATAATTACAAGTAGAACTTTGATATCATAATAACTACCTTTGAGGACAAATGAACTTTTGCAGAAGGGTGAATGTAGACATCGCCAGTGATTGACGCGTTCTTTGTGCCATCCCCGCTTGCCAAAAGATGGGGTGATGTACATCTAAATTGAGAAAGGTAAAGACCGGAACACTTCAAAGACATCCTGCAAATGAGTAAGACATGCTTAGATATCAGAAAATGGTGTGGATGGGTATCAAGGAAGGTTGTTATATTCTTATGTTTGTTAAACTCCTATATGTTTACCTTGAAAACTCATAGGAAAGTGATATATGATTAAATTTTTATTTTACTTATATATATTTAGATTTTTTTGTATTCCATCATTTTCAATGGAGCTAAAGACTCTTATTTTTTTGCTTGGGAATAAGATGGAATAAAGCAAAATGGCCCACTAAACTGTCTGCGCTTCTTTGTTATGAAGCCACATCATCGCGGGTCATCCAGAAACAGTCTCTCTTACCCCACCATAGGTGGGAGCCTTTGCGGCACGGGGGTGATGTTGTTGTTGCTGTTGTTGATATTTAGATTTCTTAGTCTTCAAATCAAAGAAGAGAATAGCTAGAAATGAGTTTGGATAAATATCCATAAACAAATTGAGCTTGAGTTTGTCTTTTAACCCCCCCCCCCCCCCCCCCGAATTTTCTTTCTATGCAACTTTCCTCTCTATTTGCTTTACTATGATCTTTCATTCTTTCCCTAGTGTTTTTCTAGTTCCAGAGGGGCCCTAAAAGCTCGACCCCTGAATTAGAACAAGACACCCTTTAATTGCTCATATTCACTTATTAGGTGGCTTAATTGGCTAATACCCAGGAGTTTTGATTTGTTCCCAGAAGTCCATGGTCTCATAGGTATATAGTTGCTTTTTCCCCGCAAGTGGTGATAAGATATCTTGATCCAACCGCACAAAATCTGCTGGAACAATCCTGCAAAATAAGAAGCTTGTTTTTGTTGGACAAAAAACGGCACAATATTTCTTTCTAAACAAGATTGTACAGTTTAACAAAACATCCATACAGCCATACAGGATATTTCAAAGGTATGTACCTGTCAGAACGTAAAACACTTGAATTTACTAGTAGAAAATTACTTTTATAAGGAAAAATTGACAAGAATAATCTCACTTCTGACCGATCTTCTCATAATAATCCCACATTTACGTAATCCCAAAATATTCTCACCTTTGCACCTCATCTTCTTTCATTGGACCCTGACCGTTTGATGACCTACTATATAAGTTTTTTTGTCTTTTCTTTGGAAACTTTGCAGAATAATCTCACCTCTCACAAATCTGCTCAAAACAATCCCATGTTTCCTCCCTAAAAAATTTTCCTTTACTTTTATCCCTAGACACTTTTTAATTCCTTTTTCCTATCCTTTTATTCTTATTCCTTTTCATATTCATTATTCTATTTCTCACACTATTAAGAGAGTTTTTTGTAATTTCTTCCCAAATAGATTAATTTTGTCATTTTGTTCCCGTATTTTTATTTCATTTCCCTTTTTATGTTTTTCTTTTTAATCATTCTCTTTTTATTAAAGATTTTTTTTTACTCTACATTTTGTTATATTTTCTTTTTCATTTTACTCTAACCCTTTTCTCTTCTTGTTACTTTTTTTTCTTGTTATCTTAATCTCATCATCAATATATTTTTCTTCTTTCCGCATTATCGTATATTTCTAAGTAAGTCCACCCATTAATTTCATCAACTATGAAAAAACTCTACATCACGAAAAGATTAGGGAAAAATATAATTGGAAGAAAAATAAAACATTCGGGAAAATGTAAGAAAAATAAAACATTCGTGAAAAAAAATCCCGAATGTTTTATTTTTCTCGACATTTCCTGAATGTTTTATTTTTCTTAATTTTATTTTCCTCTAATCTTTTTATCACAGAGAGTTTTTCCACAATTGATGGAATTAATGGGTGGATTACTTAGAAAAATACGATAATGAAGAAAGGAGAAAATATATTGATGATGAAATTAAGAAAATAAGAAGAAATAAAAGAAGAAAAACATAAAAAGGTAACAAGAAGAAAAAGGAAAAAGTGAAAATAAAAAGAAAATATAACAAAATGTAGAGTGAAAAATGATCTTTAATAAAAAGAGAATGATTAAGAATAGAAACATAAAAAGGGAAATGAAATAAAAATACGGGAAGAAAAAAAATGACAAGAAGTCTATTTGGGAAGGAAATTGTACAAAAAAACTCTCTTAATGGAGTGAGAAATAGAATAATAAATATGGAAATAAATAATAAAAAAAGGATGGAAAAAGGAATAAAAAAGCGTCTGGGAAAAAAAATAAAGAAAGAAAAATTTGAGGGAGGCAAGAAGGGAAAATGAAACGTGGGGCTGTTTTGAACAGATTTCTCAAAGGTGGGATTATTTATGTAAGGTTTCCAAAGAAAAGGCAAAAGTGGTCAAAAAAAGATGGGGTGCAAAAGTGGGATAATTAGGGGATTACATAGAGGTGAGATTATTATGAGGAGATCGGTTAAAGGTGAGAATATTCTCGTCAATTTTTCCTTTTTATACATATATTTACTTCTAAGTGTTCGAGCGAGCGAGCAAGCATGGGAGCAAGGGAGGGAGGGAAAACTGTCAAATAGGCCGTCGTAATATGTCGAAAAAGTCAATTAAACCCTTGAACTTAAAAAACACCCAAATAAACCCATTAATTTTTAAAAAACGTTCAAATGTGTAATTTAACCAGTAAACGTCTCATTAGCCGGTGATAGAGAGCGGGAAGAGCATGGGGTGGGACCGGGCTTGGGCCCACTTCCGTGGGCCGGGTTAGGGCTGTCTTTATAGTTAATTATTATTATTATTAAGTTAATGTTATGTTTTAGTTGGGCCTATTATTAGTAGAGTAGTTAGTTAAGTTAATTTGGGCTTAATTAGGGTTTAATTAATTTGGGCTTGATTAGGGTTTCTTGTAGAAGGCTATTTATACCCCTCGCCAGGGTTCATTCTTATTATTTTGGAATAAAATTGGTTTTAGCCTTTTGGCTCTGGGCAACGGTAGTTTTATCGTTGATTATCTGGGCAGCGGTTCACCCCGTTGATTTTTATTTTCTTGCTACACAACAATTGGTCCTACCTGCCGGATCCCGTCCCGCCAGGATGACAAGATCTCAAAACGATCGATTGACCGAGTTAGAGACCGAGCAACACCGACTGGGAGAGGAGCAAGCCCGAATGGCGGTTGAGCAGAATCGGATGAATCACACCCTCGAAGAACACGGCATGCGGCTGGCTGAAATTGCCGCCTCTCTGGCGGCGCTAACCCAGGCCCTTATGCCGCCGATCTCGCCGGAAATTTCCACTGCTGCAGTCGGAAGTGCTGCCGTGACAGCACCCATCGCCGACAACCTGCCGCGCATCACTGACCACACCTTGCTGTCCACGTTTGACGGAGAGGACCCGATCGGGTGGATATCTCGTGTCGAACAACAATTCGAATTAAACGGAACCCTACCAGACAAAAAGGTGGCCGCCGCTATGGTGGCCATGGAAGGAGGGGCCCTCTACTGGGTAACCTGGCTGAAAGCACGCAAACCGGGCATGACCTGGGAAGAATTCAAGAAAGCCCTGGTGGCCAGATTCGATTCCCGATTCCAAGGGAACAGATTTGAAAGGCTTTCCGGCGTCAAACAGATTGGATCAGTAGAGGAATACAATACCTTGTTTGTTCAACTGGCTAGCCAAGTTCCTGGATTGACCGATGCTCATTATTTGGGCTACTACATGAGTGGACTTGAGGAAGCAATTCGAAGCTCGTTGCGCTTATTTCGACCGAATAATTTGGAAGAGGCCATGGAATTAGCTCGCGATGTGGAGTACAATCTGTCCGTCCAGAGTGGAGGAAGTGGCAGCCCAAATTATAAGCCTTCAGGGGTACGTTCCAGCAGCTTTTCAATGCCAAACAAGAGTCCTCCGTTGACTGCCGGTGGTGGCAGCCTACAGGGATCAAGTGGCAGCTTCCCGAAGGATAGTGGACAGCCTCCGGGGACGAAGTCAGGGCTGTCCGGGCCCTACGACACACTCTCAGTTCACTCGTCTTTCGCCAAAGGAGTTCGCAAAATTGAGGGCGAAAGGATTATGCTTTAGATGTAAGAAACCATTTACACCGGGGCATGATTGTCCCTTTAAGCAGCTGCGGGTAATGATAGCCAAGGAGGATGAAGAGTTGGACCTCCGACAGCATGAGTACTGTGAAATAACCGGCCAAGAAAGGGTTCAGGAAAGAGAGGAAGGATATTTTCCGGTCTATTCTATGGCTGGGAATTTCAGCTCCCCGTCTGTGAGATTTCAACCTTGAGGACAAGGTTATTTTGAAGGAGGATGGATTGATAGAGAGCGGGAAGAGCATGGGGCGGGACCGGGCTTGGGCCCACTTCCGTGGGCCGGGTTAGGGCTGTCTTTATAGTTAATTATTATTATTAAGTTAATGTTATGTTTTAGTTGGGCCTATTATTAGTAGAGTAATTAGTTAAGTTAATTTGGGCTTAATTAGGGTTTAATTAATTTGGACTTGATTAGGGTTTCTTGTAGAAGGCTATTTATACCCCTCGCCCGGGTTCATTCATATTATCTTGGAATAAAATTGGTTTTAGCCTTTTGGCTCTGGGCAACGGTAGTTTTATCGTTGATTATCTGGGCAACAGTTCACCCCGTTGATTTTTATTTTTCTGCTACACAACAGCCGGTTAAAAACATGACCTAGATTGATATCGTCTGTGGTGAGTAAACTGATTACATACCTTAACTTCATATGCATTTCCACTATAAATAATAAGCACCAAGTAGTAGAGTTCATTGTTTAATTTCACAAAAAAGCGCCATACATTGATGTGGGTGTGTTATGGGATAATTATGGGATTCCATAGAGGTGAGATTATTATGAGAAGATCGGTTAAAGGTGAGATTATTCTCGTCAATTTTTCCTTTTTCTACATATATTTACTTCTAAGTGTTCGAGCGAGCATAGGAGCAAGGGAGGGAGGGAAAACTGTCAAATAGGCCGTCGTAATATGTCGAAAAAGTCAATTAAACCCTTGAACTTAAAAAACACCCAAATAAACCCATTAATTTTAAAAAAACGTTCAAATGTGTAATTTAACCAATAAACGTCTCATTAGCCGGTTAAAAACCTGACCTAGATTGATATCGTCTGTGGTGAGTAAACTGCTTACATACCTTAACTTCAAATGCATTTCCACTATAAATAATAAGCACCAAGTAGTAGAGTTCATTGTTTAATTTCACAAAAAGCGCCATACATTGATGTGGGTGTGTTATGTTAAGATACAAGCTATGCTAAGGAAGTACCTATTTGGTAGCTGAAGAGCTTCAAAGCTAGATACACGTTGCAGGTTAGCTGCAAATGACAAACAATTTTGCAAAGCACTTGCATTAAAATAATTCATTCAAATGATATCACCACAAACCTTATACCCAATAGGCCCATTAAGCATGAGTGCTAAATTGAATGTTGCTCTATGCCCAGCATGAGTTAGCCATCGTAATTATTCACTTCGAGAGACAACTCATGGTATTCAAATATGGCAATACGGGCTTCTCTTTGATAGATTTCGGTTTGTCATTTTTAGTCATATTTGGTCAGTTTCAATCGATTTCAAACCATAACCCTTAAACCGTAAACCGAACCTCCTATGATTAGATTGGATTTGGTCACTTTGATTCTGGTTGCTTTGTCTGCGATATTCAGTATGATGGTTTTTTTGTTCAGCCCTAACAGCTGGTAAATAGCACACATTCTATGTCATTGCTATTGTTCGGCCCTAACAGCTGGTAAACATAACTTACAAAGTTTCTTATTAATTACTTCCCTACAAACTTAAGAATGTTCATGATGGCTTAACATGTGCAAGCAACCTAGTAGTGATTTAAACCCTAACCTCTTTCCTTCCGTTGTGTCGATACACCTTGAATGGCAGTGAAAATATCTAGAGTAAATACATAAACACCACAATTGATGCGTTCACTCACCTGCATTTGATTCCATAGTTTAGAGAGTGAACACACACATACACACTGACACACACACATTACGTACAAAAGTTTCAGGTTTCTCAGTGTAGTGAAGCAGTTCATTGGTAACCGGGTCGGAAACTAGTTCCCCAAACTCACTTGCTGACTCCGGAGAAACCTGCACAAAAGAGGAAAAGGAAACTGAATGTTAGTATCTTCCCGTCGTATTTCTTCTTAAATATATTGTTACATACAAAAGTTTCGATATTCTTCTTACCTTGCGGACAAGGATAGTTCCCATACCCCCATATTTTTTGTGAGCCTCTTGAGAAAAAATGGAAAAGGGTAATCACATGCGAACCAAAAAAAAAAATTGGGTTTGTTTGGTAAGGCTTCTTGTTCTGAAATATTTCTTTTCCAAATTTTAAAATAAAAAACATGTTTCGTAAACAATGACAAAATCAGAAACATGTTTCCAAAAAATGCATCATCATCAGCAGCAGCAGCACCTTAAAGCTCAACTAGTGGAGGTGGGTGGCATGAAGTTTGTAGTGCTATAATAAATTTAATTTTCTAAAAAATAACTAGCACATAAATAAGAAATTCATGTTACACAGGAACATAATTCTATTTTTGCTTCAAGAAAATGAAAACAAAAACAGTGTAACTAAACATTTTCCGATTTCTGTTTTAAAAAAGAAGTGAAAAGAAAAACAAAAACAAAAGCATTACCAAACGACACCTTAATGGAGAGCAAATTACCAAGCATCTCAGGCAGTGGGAAACTGCAGCAAACATCACAGTTCAGTAAAAAGATGTGTGACTGTCATGTAAAGCAAAAGAAATATACATTAGCCATAAAAGCCTAATTCTTTCATCAGAAAATTCAAAGACTATAGTAATTCTATTATTCTACCCATGTCCCCCATTTTTGGTTGATAAATCAAGTCAGGTAATTTAATAAAATATTTCATGAGAGTAAAATAAGGAATGCTATAGAGTATGAAGAGTCTAACTGGGCTGTCTTCCATGACCATATCCCTGAAATTGTAGAGCCCGCCACCTGACCCGTGTGGTTTATCCTCTTTCAAGTATCTAATGATAACAAGTTAGTTAAAGCATTAGTTCCCATGCAAAAAAAACTAATGAAATCTATTACTTAAAAGTGACTTATGATAAACGAAAGATGGACCATGGCCATAGTGCCTACCATACCTGACAGGAACTCTCAGTTCATTCGAGATAGAGGACACATATATGGCAAACTCGCGCTCCTCATAGAACCCAATAAGGTATATCTGTGCTAGGTTTGGAATCTACCCACAAAACCAAATTGTATTGGTCAACAGAATAATCAACAGTTAGTAATTGTACGTTGTAACATACACCAAAATTGATACTTCAGAAATAAAGGTGAGAAACAAATTCTCAAGACAAAATTAGCAGAGTATTGGAAAAGGAGTGGCACAAATTGGCGATTTGACGAACTCTAATAGATGTTAGATAATAATCCAAATCTAGCACAGATCTACCTAGTCTTAACATAGTATAGTTGTACCAGAACCAGCCCAAACGTAGGAGTCATATACTCATATGGGCCCCAACGGTAAAAATAATGCATAAAATGTACTGAAGAATGTGTGCCCCTTCTACTATGTAAGAGTGTTCCGCACCAGCTAAATAGGATTGAATAACTCTTTAGTATGTTTTGGACAACCTCAATAACTCTGTAGTAAGTTTTGGACAATCTGATCTGAGGCTCGAGCAACATGACAATTATTTCCAATTCAAATTTTAAAATATGTCATATAATATGAGTAAAAAAAATTACACATTAAACTACTACATTCACGTCTACATAAAGTGCAGTGTCATGACTACTTAATTATAAAAAGATTTTAAAGTAAGAATGTAGATGCATTTTGACTATGAAAAGTAGCTAAGATAATTACTGAATAAGTGAATAGTAACTAGCACATTGGGATGGAGGGAGTGTAATTAGTTCAATCTATAGCTGGAAACATTTGCCTCAATGAAATTGAAGTATCAGTTGGAAATATGAGAACTTCAATTTTAAGTAAATACTGGTGTTCATTATCCGTATCCATACATGTAAAGATTAAAAGAGTGAACATACAGAGAATTAAGATCAATATAAAGTTTTCCTCTATCATCAGTCAATATCAAGACCTTCAAGGATCCAATAATGGAGAAATTAGTGAATATCAGGAATATTTGAATGTGTGGATGAATCACATACCCTTTTACAGGCAGAAATGGGATGATGAACCATTGGCTGTCCGGCTAGCGGGAAAAGTGGCTTTGGGATATTCAGTGACAGTGGCCTAAACCTAGTTCCTACAAACAAATCAAAGAATCAAACTTTTCAACATAAAATCAAACACCAAACAAAATTTAAGAACTACAGAGCACCGATCTTGAATGCTTGAGATGAAAACCATATATACCTTTGGTTGGTCCTCCTACCATGATCACGGCGACAACTTTCTCCTCAGAGCTTCCCATCGTTTCCTCCCCAGATCTCAGAACTTCTTATACAACCTTCCAGCCAAATCCCCAACTCTAAGGACATGCATATATCTTCACCAGATCTGTTACTTTGATTTTTTAATACATTAAATTAAATTCTCAATTATTTTATAGGAAAATTCAGGGCTTGTTTATTAAGAGGATATTTTTGTGAAAATCACGTGGATAGTCTATTTTACGTGATGTTTTCACGTTTAATATTTAACTTTTCATATTTAACTTTTTATTTTCACTTTTATTTTTTATTTCACGTTTAGATCGTTTCCTGCCAACGTTCTCCACCTATACGAATTTCCTTCAACCGCATCTTTTTCTTTCTTCCCGCTTCCGGTTTTCTTCTTCTCCAATTCATCTTTTTCCCTTCGTCCATCTTCACGTTTGATGGAGTATATGGCCCGGGGACTCCCAACCCATAGACTCCTACTACTGCAATCAAGCCCAAACGGGCCAAGTCCGGCAAGATAAAGCCCTAAGCGGCCCACGACACGCAAAGGGGTGCCTTCGGCCCCATGACCGAAGGCTACCGTTGACAGAATCAAACTCAGAAACATCACAGGAGAACAAGGCATGAAAACCGAGCCCTCGGTTGATACAGCCCTCGGCACAAGGAGAGCCTTCGGTATAACACCCTCCAGCCGAAGGCACTCTCCTCGACAGAATCTCCTCTCCACATGTGTCTGAATCACCGTACCAAGTACAACGTCACATCCAACCACCGCATTTAATGCGACCACATGCAAATGTCAGCGCCACCTCGATTGAGGTGACCCTCGGCCGTCGGATGGTTGACATGTGTCTCTGTCTAGCATTTATTGCTGCTGTAAATAGCAGCCCATTTCCCCATTGTAAACCACGCCGAATTCATATTGAATATATACTCTCTCTCTCTTACTTACTTGCTCTGACTTCTCTCTAGTTATTCCCGCAAAAACCCCTCGGATACATACCCCTCGGGTACAAATCCATCAACGATATTGTCGAATGCAAATACTCTTACTTGTGTTACAAGATCTTCTTCTCGGTTGAATATGGATGGAAGAAGTTTTTATCGTCACAGCTCTTCTGCTTCCCCTGTTCATTCTAGAAGTCCGAACTTGGCTCGTAAGAAGAGAAAAAATGAAAATGCTCCAAAGCCTCGCAAGAAATCCAAAGTGTCGGTGAATGTACAAGCAAAGAAGTCTACTAAATCTGTTAAGGAACCAAAAAATAACAAATATCCTTCGACATTTAAGGTGATTAATTCACTATTGTTATATTTACAGTGCTTGTTCTATTTTGCATGTGTACTTATTGTTCTTCTATTTGAATTTATTTTTGTTTAATTTTGTTTATTCAATTTTATTTTTGTTTCATTTTTTGTAATCCAGGAGTGGGGGTGTTTTGTTCCATGTGAATCGTGGTTTAACAGTAGGGTATGTACTTTTAGCAAGGATTGCATTAGTGTAAATCTTAAGGCGAAGATGACTGATGTGCAATTACATTAGTGTATGTTCTTCTTTACTTCATCTAAGGAGAAGGTCATAAGTGAAACTTATTTGCATGTTGATTGATTCTGGTTAATGGGATTCCTATCCTTGGGGGAATGACCTTTTTGATGTCACATTACACAACTTGAAGGGCAGACTTGTTAGAGCAAATACTTCAAAAAGTGATAATTTCTTTTATCGTATTTTAGAATTTCCTCTAACTCTTCAGGTCTTGTTTTATGAGTGCTCTGATTATTCGATGGTGTGTTTGCTTCTAGACCTGGTTCTACTATTCCCTGAATGTTGTCATGGCATTCTTCCATTTCACATACTTACAAGCAGTTGAATATGGAACTTCTTTTTTTATGTGTCTCTCAGATTTATTTTCTTAATTTTCTTTTCATTATCAATTTTGTGTTCTTATTATGATTTTATTCCATTTACTTTATTTTCCTTCTATGTTTTTTATTTATTAGTTGAAGCTCCACAATGTTGAACTTATCACCTTTGAAAGTGAATCACTTGAGTTGGTGCTTTGTTTTCCGCTCATCCGTTGAGGCCCTGAACTAAGTCATCTGTTTCAAATGTTGGGGAGGGACCTAGTAATTCTTTTGATGGTGTTTTTTCAAACTCTGTTCTACTGGAATTTGGAAACCAGCTTGACACCAAACTTGTTGCTTTCAAGGAATTTGTTCAAGGTAGGTTTAATGATTTAGAACACAAGCTTGACCGTGGTGTTGTTTCACTTTGCCATGTTCAATCTTCCAAGCACATAGTTTCAAGTTTTTTCTCTCCTTATAAAAATCCTACTATAGAAGAACCGCTAGTTACAGATGTTGTTAGTGATAATGATATTATCAATGGTCTTTCTGAAGATGAAAATGACTTTCTTTTCTTTATACTGGTGGAGATATAAATGTTGATCTTCATTGTGGTTAGTTACATCAATCACTCATTTCTATTGACCCTAGCTACTGGACATGCCTCAGATGATACACATATTATGTATTATTTCTTTTTTCGTTTCCTTGTGTTTATATTGTTTTATTTTGTTTCATTGTTCTTTCTAAACTGTCTATCAAATGGACGTAAAGAGTGTCTTCCTAAACGGTCTATTAGAAGAGGAGGTCTACGTGGAGCAGCCTCCTAGATTTGAAATCAATAGAGAGAAGGATCAAGTCTACAAACTACATAAAGCTCTTTATGGACTCAAGCAAGCCCCAAAAGCATGGTTTGACACTCTCTCTGAATATTTAGTGAGTAATGTGTTCAGTAAAGAAAAAGTAGACAAAACACTATTCAAAATTGAAGAAGGTCCAAACATACTGCTTGTCCAAATATATGTTGATGACATAATCTTTGGAAGTTCAAATAAAGCACCATGTGAGAAATTTTCAACTCTCATGCAAAACAAATTTGAAATGAGCATGATGGGAGAGTTGAACTGTTTCTTGGGACTACAAGTGAAGCAGACCCCACAAGGTATTTTCATCAACCAAGCTAAGTATACAAGAGATCTCATGAAGAAGTTCAAAGTTGAAAACAAGTCTACTGTGAAGATTCCCATGAATACTTCCCAAGGTTTGAGTCAAGATGAAGATGGGAAAGATGTTGATCCTACACTCTATAGAGAGTTGATTGGTTCCTTGTCATATCTCACCACTAGTAGGCCAAATATATCCTACTCAATTGGGGTATGTGCAAGGTTTCAATCAAAGCCTAAAGAAAGCCATCTCCTAGCAGCAAAGAAGATATTGAGGTATCTCAAAGGTAAACCTAACTCTGGATTATGGTACCCAACAAATGGAGGTTTTAATCTCTATGGCTATTCAGACTCAGACTTTGTTGGATGCAGGATTGACAGAAAAAGTACCTCTGGTACTTGTCAATTGATTGGAGGAAGACTTATCTCATGGTTCAGCAAGAAACAAAACTCAATTGTTACCAGCACTATAGAAGCTGAATACATAGCTGCAGGCAGCTGTTGTGCTCAAATATTCTGGATAAAACAACAATTGAAGGATTATTGTGAAGAAACAAAGGAAATTAGCATACTGTGTGATAACACAAGTGCTATTGCAATCACTCATAACCCAGTATTTCACTCAAGAACCAAGCATATTGAGATAAGACACCACTTCATCAGAGAACATGTTGAGAAGAAAACTATCAAGTTAGAATACATTCCCACGGAAAAGCAGCTGCCTGACATCTTCACCAAGCCATTGAATGAAGCAAGATTCAATGCACTAAGGCAAGAGCTTGGAATGTTAGACGATATTGACCAAGTGAAGGAATAACCCTGCACTTATTTAGGGGGAACCTGAATCTTAAATCAAGGGGGAATTCCTAGCCACCTGTTGAGGGGGAACTTCTAAAGCAGTACTCACAGGTAGCCACCTGCTAAAGGAATGTCACTTATATCCACAAGGAATGAAGCATCAAGGTCCAAGAAAGTCAATCTCAAACTTTCAAACATCAAGGAGGAGTCAAATTCAAGCAGTAGGCTCAGCAGGTCACTGCCCCTACCAGCAGTCGGCTGAGCAAGTGACCGCCTTCAGCCCACTGCTACATTTTCTGTGAGACTTGTGAGAACTTGCATTATATATTTCATACAAGAAGGAGAAGAGAGAAACAAGGAAGGTGAAATGGAGGTAAAAACATTGGTTCATAAAATTCGAGCAGGTGCCTACCAGCATATGTCTGCCTCAGCATAGCAGTAGGCTCAATTTCTGACCAAAATACATGGAATCTCAGCACTTGGCCTATGTCATCTTGATCCTCTCATATCAATGACTCCAAAAGGTAAATTTCGCTCTAAAAAACCACCAAAAACTTACCCAAGTTTGAGCCCCCCTGCTACCAGTGTGGACACAGAAACTAGCAGTTAATGCCAAAAGTGACCAGCTGTATTCTCCAACGGCTATATCCCAACGGCTAGTTTCCGATAGACTATAAATACATCCTCCGTACAACTCCTTCACACTTTTCACTTACACTCTCTCTCTCTAACCTATTTCTAAACTCTCAAACGCTCTCACCACTCTCAAAAAGCTTTCAATCTTCCATCCCAATTTTACAGCTACTCCCCTCTTCACTCTCTCCCATAAACACAAATGGTCTCCCTTATCAAAATCTCCAAGTCCATCTTCACCGGTATTATACTAAACACTGCCATAGCCATGAACAAAGCTGAAAACAGTGATCTAATGAGAGAGCTCCTAAGGAAACTTGACACAACATGACTCATCAAGATGGCAACCTATCCCTACTCACACTTCTATCCTGAAGTGGTGGCCGAATTCTACCTCAACTCTGAGCCAGGAACTCTTAAATCAGTCATCAAGGGGAGGCCAGTAGAAATCGAAGAAGGGGACATCAGAGTCCTGCTCTCCTTACCTGGAGATGAGGCCCCAACCGTAGAAGACTTCAACTTCGACGAAGAGAGCTTCAAAGAAGAGATCTTTATTCCAAGTGCACAACACCTCAAAACTCTCAAAGTAAAGAAGAAGATGATGGTTCGTGAATACTCTTTCCTGCTGGACATCCTTTACAAATGCATTGACACGAAAACCACAGCACTAGACGAGATCAATGCACAAAGAGCAATTCCACTGGCTGCAATCATCTCAGGGTCCCCACA